CTGACTGAGCGGTACGGTAACAAGATGCTAGCTGCAAGCACCTATCGTGAGAAAATAAGCAAATGGCCGACCGTGAAGCAAGACGATGGAAAAGGACTGCGTAATCTCTCAGATTTCCTTTTCCAGTGCGAAACAGCCATGTCAACTCTGAGCCAGTTAAAGGTTTCTTGACGACCCAGCCGAGCACAAGAAAATTATAGAGAAGCTACCGAGGCAGGTGCAGGGTCGTTGGCTTCGTTTTTGTCGACCAGTGCATGTATGGCCAGAAGGATGCAGAGGAAGGTGACTACCCGCCTTTGCCGAGCTGTGCAAATCATCGCAAAGGAGGCTCGCATTGCCTGTAGCCCCTTTCACCAAAAACCGATGGACGAGAAGAAGGGAATTGACAAAATTTGTCAAACCTACCAAGTCGGGAACAGCCACGACATTTGCCTCAAAGGCAGATGAGCTCACAACGAAGAAGAAGACTAGCCCCCTAAAGGGCAAACACCCCCCTTCACCCAATGCAAACAAGGCATCAACATGTCCCCTCTGCAAGAAGCCAACATCAACTCGATTCCTGTAGCAGTTTTGCAGCCATGAGCCTTAGTGAAAGGCATGACCTCATCAAGAAGAGCGCCCTTTGCTTTGGATGCCTCAAATGGGGTCACAGAAGTCGCGAGTGTCGCCACAAGAAGCAGTGTGCAGTCTGTGGGCGCTCCCACCCTACTTTGCTGCACGACTTCTCCAAGTCCACTCCAGATGTGCAGACCAAAGATGACACAATGACAAAGAAATGGTTGTTGTTCAATCTACCACACATCGAGTGCAGACACTTGGACGTCGGAGAAAATTGCTCACACACTCTCATCGTCCCGTCGTCGTTCATCACATCAAAGAACCCTCTGCGAAGGTGATAGTATACGCCCTATTAGATGAACATTCCGATTCTTGCTTCGTCTCAGATTGGACACTAGAAAGGCTCGGAATCGATGGAGAGGCAGTCCAGCTGAGTCTGTCTACAATATTAGCGAAGGGCACTATATCATCCAGAAAGGTGCATGGCCTAACTGTCAAGGGATTGTCCCGAGGACACCGAGATACAATTACCAGGCGCCTACTCCAGAGAATCTATCAATGCAACCGTGAGCAGATTCCGAAGTTGGACACCGTGAAGGAGTGGCCTCACTTGAAACGAGTCGCCAACCTGCTACCTCCCTACCTGAGTGAAACCGAGATCGGACTTTTGATTGGCTGCAATGCAACTCGCGCAATCAAGCCGAGAGATGTCGTCCATGGAGAGGAAGATGCCCCATATGCAGTCAGAACAGCCCTTGGATGGGGAGTGATAGGAATGATGCGTCATGACAACGGTGGCAACAATGTTTGCAGAATTTCGAATGCATCAAGGAGCAACAAGGCACTTCGCCTTTCGCACCCAGGTGAAAGAAGTCAGCCCCCTCCAAGTCACAAAAATGTTCGAGATGGACTTCATCGGGAAGACACCGAAGAAATGGTTTCCCACGATGACCGAAAGTTCATGCAGAAGATGAAGGATGGTATCCACAGACGTGATGATGGCCACTTTGAGATGCCCCTCCCACTCAAAACAGATGTCCAGCTCCCCAACAACAAGCCAGTAGCTCTGAAGCGGCTCAACAAGCAAAAAATGAAGATGTTGAGCAACCAAAAATATCGAGTGATTACAAGACCTTCATGGAAAACATCATCGAAAAGGGCTACGCAGAGAAGGTTCCGGACGAGGAACTTGACCTGGACAACAAGGCCGTGTGGTACATACCTCATCACGGGGTATACCATCCCAAGAAACCAAACAAGATCAGAGTCGTCTTCGACTGCAGTGCTGAATACGAGGGTGAAGTGTTGAATCGACACCTACTGCAGGGACCCGATATGACCAACAATCTTGTTGGGGTTCTTTGCCGATTTCGGAAGGACCACGTCGCCTTCACCTGTGACATCGAAGGCATGTTTCATCAAGTTGGCGTCAACGTGGAAGATCGCAACTACCTGAGATTCTTGTGGTGGCCAGGAGGTGAAATGAACCAGTCCCCAAATGAATATCGAATGACGGTTCACTTGTTCGGCGCTAACTCTTCCCCAGCTTGTGCAAATTTTGCACTGAAGTGTGCTGCTGATGCATACGAAGATAGTTGTGGGACGGCGGCAGCCGACTTCATACGGAAGGACTTCTACGTCGATGATGGACTAAAGTCAGTCCCAACTCCGATGAAGCCCTGAAGTTGATAGAAGACAGCAGACGGCTGTGTCAGAAGAGCGGATTTCACCTTCATAAGTTCATCTCCAATGACAAGGTGGTTGTGAATTCCATACCTCTCAGTGAACGACAAGGATGTTCAGAACGTTGACGTGTTCTCAGAAGGCCTTCCCATCGAGCGTACTCTAGGTGTACAGTGGTGTGTTGAATCCGATGCTTTCCAGTTCAGAGTCCACTTCAACGACAAACCACCCACTCGTCGCGGCATCATGTCGAGCGTCAGCTCCATATTTGATCCACTTGGTCTGGTAGCAACAGTCCTGCTTGTTGGAAAACGCATTCTCCAAACCTTGTGTCGTGATGGGTATGCATGGGACGACCCAATCTCAGAGGAAATCAGATCAGAGTGGGAGAAATGGAGGAACGACATCCTGCATTTGGCATCACTGAATATCCCACGATGCTACAAGCCTGAGAAGTTTGATGTCATCAAGTCCGCAGAACTGCATCACTTCTCCGATGCCAGTACCGAAGGCTATGGTCAGTGTAGCTACTTGCGACTGATAGACGACAAAGGAAGTGTATGTACAACTCTGGTCATGGGAAAGTCCAGAGTAACTCCTTCGAAGCCAGTTACCATCCCTCGACTGGAACTTACAGCAGCCGTCATCTCGGTGAAAGTCAGTACTTTCCTCATGAAGGAACTAGAGTATAGCGATGTGACTCAGTTCTACTACACTGATAGCAGAGTCGTACTCGGGTATATTGCCAATGACAGCAAGAGGTTCCACATATTCGTCGCCAACCGCGTGCAGAAGATCAGAGATCACACCACACCTGAAGATTGGCGACATGTTTGACACTAAAACTACCCAGCAGATGCAGCTTCCCGAGGTCTTTCTGCCGAGTCGCTCATCAAGAGCAAACTCTGGTGGAGTGGTCCAGGTTTCCTGCAAGAAAGAGAAACCCCTCCACCTGACACTGAGTACGTGGAGCCAAGTTCAAACGACCCAGAGGTGAAGAAGGCATCTGCATTCAATGTCCAAACCGAGGCCTCCAACTACCCGAGCATGCTTGAAAGATTCCAGTCCTACTCAAACTGGTTTCGCCTGAAACGTGCAGTAGCATTGTGCCAACGCTACATGAAGAAGCTTAGAGATCGCTGCTTCAAAACAGCTACTACTGCACCTGATGCCAACACCCCCCTCACTGTAGACGAACTCCAGCATGCAGAACGACTGATACTGAGGCTAACTCAAGAGGAAGCATTTCCAAAGGAAATTCGAGCCCTCAGCAAACCCGATGGTCTTCCTAATGGCGAGCAGCAAGGCCCAGGAAACCCCCTGAACAAGAGCAGTCCTCTGTATATGCTTGACCCAGTCATAGATGAAACGAAGCTGTTGAGAGTCGGTGGACGCATCAAGCAAGCCAAAGCACCTAAAGAGATCAAGCATCCCATCTTGCTTCCACGTCTGGCCACGTGACTGACCTGGTGATTGAACACTACCATGTTCAGAGTTGTCACTCAGGCCGTGGCATGACACTGAATAGCATTCGCCAAGCTGGCTTTTGGATTCTGGGGGCAAGATCAGCTGTTTACCAGCCATATTTGGAAGTGCGTGACCTGCCGCAAACTCAGACGTGCTCCCTGTGGGCAGAAGATGGCAGACTACCCAAGGACAGATTGGATCCATCCGCACCCTTCACCTATAGCGCTGTAGACTACTTTGGTCCCTTCATGATTAAAGAAGGACGAAAGGAGCTAAAAAGATGGGGGGTCATCTTCACCTGTATGGCATCCCGCGCAGTCCATATCGAGACAGCTAATTCGCTGAACACCGACTCATTCTTGATTGCCTACCGCAGATTCACATGTAGAAGGGGTCCAGTGAGACAACTCCGCTCCGATAGAGGCACAAACTTCATGGTGGAAAGAATGAACTGGACGCTGCCCTAGCCGAGATGGATCAACCGAAGATTTCTCAAGAGCTGCTAAAGGACAGTTTGTGATTGGGTGACATTCAATATGAACGTTCCCACAGCCAGTCACATGGGAGGCACATGGGAAAGGCTCATCCGTTCAATCAGACAGGCGCTCTTCAACATTGCTGCAGAACATGGGCAACAACTGGATGATGAGCTCTTGAGGACCCTCATGACCGAGGCTGAAGCAATTGTGAACAGCCGACCTCTCACCTACGTTGACATGGTGGCCCCAGATTCAGAAGAGCCCCTCACGCCAAGCCAACTGCTAACGCTGAAAAGCAAGGTAGTTCTCCCTCCGCCAGGAGTCTTCATCCAACAAGATCTTTATTGCCGACGCCGATGGCGCAGAGTCCAGTACCTGCCAACAGTTCTGGTCACGTTGGAAGACTGAGTATTTGTCGACCCTACAAGAGCGGAAGAAGTGGCAGAAGGCTCAGCAGAATCTGGAGATAGGCAACATCGTCATGATGGTCGACGACTCCACTCCCCGATGCCAGTGGCAACTCGCTCGCGTGGTTGAGACGTACCCAAGCTCAGACGGTCACATCAGGAAGGTCAAGCTCCAAACTGGTCGATCTGTCTTCGAGAGGCCTATCCATAAGGTTGTACTACTGTTGGACCAGGGACGCCCCGACGAGGAGCCAAATGCCTGAACTTGAGCCGATACATGAACTGTACTTAAAGGAGCCACGTAGTGTTCACATTCTCAGTAGTATAGTAGTT